AACTGCCACAAGCATCACCAGGTGGAATCATAGCCCATTCTCTGTTGCCACTTAGAGTCTTCAGTTCTCCATAAACCCCACCGAGGATAAAGGAGGTGCTGTCCTGTGAATTACAATTCCAAGGCTTGGCCGGTGTCGTGTAATCCCCATCATTCATTTTAGAGAGCTTGGTTTTAGGAAGTCCCTTGTCCTCTTTCTGCCCATCCCAAAGATGATACTCCGAACACTGCACAGCTTTCTTTTGAATAATTTCACCTTTTACATCCTTGTCAAGACAGCTGCAATGGTAGCTGGTAGAATCTGAAAACAAGTGCTCCCCTGTATTCTTTACCCCGAGTGTTAAGACACAGTCTCGGTCTCCAATAGCCATCCAAATGTCTTTAATTATCCCTGAGGTGTATTCATCACTTTGTTGATTTGGGACATCTGAAAACACAAAAGCATTATAGAGTTTACTCTCATCCTGCTCTAATGCTATGCCACAAACAGACTCCAATTTCGATTTCTTATTGAAGGGCTGGTTGGACTCTGTGCCTACACTCGTTTCTTCCTGCTGGTGACTGGAGTTCTCTTGAAAGAAATCTAAAAGCTCTTCTTCTAGGCATAAAGGTGGGATAAGGGAGACACAGCTGACCTCTTCATTGCCAAACGGAGCAGACTCATCTGCTAGAGCATTGATCTGTTCACTATCTGACCGTGTCTCCTCTGAGTGGGACCAGGGACTGCAGGTCCTTGTTGATAAGTTAGAGCAGTGTTCCGTTTCTTCAAAGGCACTGTTTTTGGTCCAAATTAGCAAACGGGATTGTTTGTTTCCTTGTGGATCTAAACAGCTACTTGAATCTACATTGTCCTGACCCTCCACAAGAGAGTCGCAGGGAAAAGAAAAGGTAGGGCTATCGCACTGCAACTCAAAAAGCGGAAAACAGGAGTTTAGGGCAGAGATGCTACTGCTGGCCTCTTGGAGATGATGCCCTACAAAAGCTCCAGACAGTTTGCTAAAGTTAAAAGGAACACTGTCCAACACTGGGGAGAGCCTGACTGGAGAGTCACCCGGACAGCTTTCTCCTTCCAAATCTTCCAAGCTAGATGATGAACAGCACTCCCAGACTTGGGCAATATTTTCCATATCTTGTGTGATAGAAACATCTGCTTCTGAGGCTCCCAGAGAATCAACCCTTATTGCACTTTCCCCTTGCAGCTCAAGGCCATCTAAAACTACACATCCTGCTTCAAAGTGTTTTCGCTCAATGCTCTTCTGCCGAATCATGTTCAGGATTCGGCTTTCTGGTACCGCATCTGAGGCACTAGGATCCAATATGGATTGGTAAAAATCAACTTCATAGAAGTGAGTGAATTCAGACAGATGCTCGTCATCTAAATTTTGACCATCTTCAGGAGGAGGGCAGCTTGGAATCCCATTCAGTTCAGGATCCTCTTCGTCACTTTCACCAGGCACTTCAATGAAGTGACCATCCACAAAAGTGCCTGCTGCAAGGTATGCCCTTTGAAAACAAGAATTAGCAATGCAGATCCCTTGAATTCTCTCCGACAGACAGTCAACATCAATGGACATAGCTAAATCACTGGAAGAGTCGTCTTTACTCCGATACTTTGTCTCCAATTTACTTCTACTGAGAGGGACAAAGTACTCCGAGATGGGCTCTGTATACCAAAGTGGCTCTTCCATATATTCCTTTTTATTGGCCTCTCCTCCTGACTCCTGTGCCTCAGCCAGATTAGCATCTTTGCGGATCTCCCTCAGAGGTCTTTTGCCTTTTTTCATGTAGTGCTGCTGTTGCTTAGGTGGGCCTCCAGTGGTACTGATGTTGCCACGTGCATTTTTCCGCTCTTCTTTGTCGATGACTTTTAGGGCCAGTTTTACCTGTCCGCCACCACTGTGGCCTCTTTTCTTTCTGCTGCTGACCTCTCTAGACTTGTGTCTTATGCGCACTGATTTGCAACTAGGGGTCTGGTCACCCTGGTTACCACTGGAGCTTGAGCCAGCCTCACTAGAGCCAGAGGACCACGATCTGGGACGAAACCTCCCCTCAGACCGGTGTCTCGCCTGTCTTTTACTATGAGGAGCAACCTGATCGTCACACACTCCTGTTGCGCTTCCATGGAATCGGTTTTCCTTCTCCCTCTTTGTGCGTCGCTGCTGGGCCCTCTCACTGATTGTGGTGTTGGAACTGGGTGCATCAACTGTTCGGTCTTTAAAAGCTTCACCTTCGCTGGTGCAGTCTTTTGGAGAGGATGTGTCTGTGCTTGTTTGAGGGACAGCAGATGATGATGCGCTGGAATATGTGCAGGCTTTAGCTTTGTTCCACACAGTCATAATTTCTTGGAGACAAACAGATTTTTCTGAGAGAGGTGGAAAAGCTTCATAGTACCTAAGGGAGAAATTATAATAACATTTGAGTGTAAATATAATTAAATTAAATTAATAGAGCAATAAGAGGAAATACTGCATAAGGTCATCTTCATGTTGCCATTTAGGATTATGTAAGTTGCTATTATATTTTTGCTCCACCCAAATAACAAGCTAGACATCTGCCGGTATTCGGTACTGCGATATATCACGATAATGAACATGCACGATATTGCTATCGTGGGCACTTCAAAATACCGTGAATAATTATTTATTACATATTATTCAGATTCTTTTAATGCATTTTAAGAATACTTTTCCCATCAACTGGTCACACTGCACAACACCGCCTGAAAGCGCACATTCACTCTCTGACAGCATATGGGCGCTGAACAGCAGAAATGCAGCCATTACCCCGGAAACCCCGTAAACAAAGCAGCTGTGCAGCGCTACTTTCTGAAACGTATTTAAATGATTTAAACAGCCATTCAGATTTTTGTATTCACTATGGTGTTCATCACAGCGCCAGATACTTAAATATTTAGACTTAATAGGTTATTTTCAAACTTATTTTCACTTTTATTTTATTTTCTCTGGACTACAACATGCCCTAGATATTGTTTGAAAATGTTTTGATTCTTTATTGTTCAGTCACACTTTACATTAAGGCACCATTAGTTAACATTAGTTAGTAACATTTAACATTTATTAGTAAAACAAACTGCCAATGAAAAATTCTTCTAAACATTAATTTATGTTAATTTCAATATTTAATAACATGTTGTTAAAATCAAAAGTTGCTACCGTGTTATTTAATGAACTCGAGCTAACATGAACTAACAGTTGTTAGTTTTTTTAACAAAGATTAATAACTTCTGTAGCAAATGTAGCTATTGCTCATTGTTAATGTTAGTGCATTAAAGAGCAGGTCATATGGGTTTTTTGAAAAATATCTCTTTTGCCGTTTATAACGTAGCTATCCTTAAATGAAAACAATCTGCAAAGTTGTTAATCAAAAAAAGTGCATGATAAATAAAGATATTGTCTCTCAAAAGAGTGAGTCGATTCTGAATCGCCTTAACGAGTCGTCATATTTTCTCATCTTTTGCCGGTTACCGTTATACGTCACTGGGTAACACATTTGCATAATCCCCGCCTGCTCGCGAAATACGAACAGAGTCTGACCTGCCCACAAACACTTCCGCTAGACTAGTTAGTGTGTTTACACCATGTTGAGAAGACGCTGTGTTCAAGGATACCCCAGAAACACAATTCGAACCTTTTGTTGTGTGCATGTAATTTAAGGTTAACTAATGAGATCTTACTGTAAAGTGTTACCTATTGGTCTTTATAATTCTTTTGCACTTTAATCTGTGTGAAATTATTTACTTTATACATTTTTTGTGTATTGCTTTATTGTATTTAAATGTTCAGTTTCTTTTTGTTATAAGAAAAAAAGTTATTAAACCTGTTATACTTTATTATGACAACACTTTTTTGCAACTAAATCTAAATACCGTGATAATACCGTATACCGTGATAAAAGCATTAGCAATTAATGAAAATCTCATACCGTCACATACCTATAATAAGCAACAACAATTGTTGCATTTTTTCTCATCTCCGTTTATGTTAGGCAAGAACTAGGGTTGGATGACAATATCATAACGAGATCACAATAAAAATGATAAGCTCAGGACATTTTTACTCAATATCTAACAGCGTATCACAGCAGAAATAAACAGGATAACAGCCAGTCAGTGCATGCAGCTAATAAGTCTGCATGTTCTGCGTCTGTGAATGAATGGCATGATTTTGTTTACAACACAAACTCAAACACAAGTGACATTCACAGTGTTTTCAGCATCTGCATCTCAATATATAAGAGCTGCTCTGAGATATGCTGGCACATCTTATGTTGTATAGCATTTTATTTGACAAAAAATTAAAATGCAATGTTTTGTTGTAAATTGTTATTTTAATTTTAAATTACATTTTAAAATATTGATTAAACTGTTATTATTATTTCATTTCATTAGATATCATTTTTGTATTAAATTTGTATTAAATCATTAAACAGAACCCAGCAAAAAATAAAATGAAAAACACAGAATTTAGGGGGAAAAATGGATTTCATGGGACCCTAAATTAAAAGGTAGCTCACTCTATGGAGTTTAATTGTGAACAAACAAGTTATGTTTAAGTTCATTCTCAAGGTTTACAAACATGTGGAAAGCATTTCCTTCCCAATTAATGGTAAACGAATATTGTGATAAATATCAATATTGTATGATATGGAAAATATATTGTCAACATGGGGACAGGAGAGCTGTCAATCAATAAATTGAAAAAAAAAAAAAAAGTAACTTGCGTTACTTGCTTGAAAAAGTAACTCAGATATTCTCTTGTAAATTAAAAAGTAATGCGTTACTTTACTAGTTACTTGAAAAAAGTAATCTGATTACGTAACTCGCGTTACTTGTAATGAGTTACCCCCAACACTGGTAATAATATATTTGACTCTCAAAACAAAAAACTGCCCATTCACTTTGAGGCATGCTTTTTATTTAGACTATTTATTTAATCATAGGCTTTCCTGGTTTAATAAAGGCACATAACAACATCAGTCCTATTGCTCTAATTAATTTCATGGAAATCATAACCCCAGCTGTACAACAATCCACATTATTACATTACAGACTACAAAGTTTAATTACTTACATCTCAACCTGGTCCTTAGAAGAAAATGATTCATCTGGTTCAGGAGACTGAGATACATCAGATTTTTTATTTCCTTGCTTTTCTTTTTCTGTAAGATAATAATAACAAAGCAATATAATTGAAGTACTGCCATTAAATTGTTACAGCTGCAAGACAACGCCATTTTTGCATTAACCTGCATGAGTCAGAAAATATGCAAACCAACCTTTCTGTTTGTTTTGAATATCCTTGAGTTTAGAGCATAGCTCCTCGACCAAGCTTTCAATTCCAGAATTCTGAAGGAGAACAAAAGAGTAATTTCACTTGCAATTTCGGGTGAATATTTAATCATAGTTCTGTCACGGCAACAAAAACCAATTGTTTTCTTCAAAAACAAGGTATTAAATATGAAATTATTACTCCCTTTGATTAGAAAGCTCCAAATATACACAAAATTAAAACAGTAACCATATAAAATGTCAACTGTGTAATATATAATTTGCTGAATACATCTGAACTAGCTCTGGTGATTTTTTTTTTTTACAGAAATAAGCATCATCACTGTAAAAGGCTTTGAGGCAGAGGCAAAGGCAAAGCATATCAATGATTTTCACAAAAAGTGGATCTGAGATACTGCCACATTACTCAAACTCTGATTGGCATATTACAGAGTCTTAATGAGGAGAGCTATTCTTGACCGCTTAACCAATGTTTGCTCTACTAATTCCACAACACACAAAAGTACACTAATTGCAATTTAGCAGTGAAAATGGTTGTGGGAATACAAAATAACACACTGATCTTACTTCATCAGATGCTGAACGCAAACATTGCACAGCAGCTTGTTTCTTCATCTCTTCAAGAGTAAGGTCAGTCCCTCCCTTCCTCTTGCTCTTCCCCCATTTCTTCCCTGTTCCCTTCTCCCAGCCCAGGAAGATGTCATTTTCCTGCGCACAAGGAAGACCAGGAGTTGATTGCTTAGTATTAATTAGGGCTGTGCGATATTGAATAAAAATGTGATACCTTGTTAAAAAATGCAATATTCGATATGCGATACGATATTGCTTAAAGTGTGTAAAATCAATTTCAATTATATTTGAAAATATTTAAAAATGAAAATTATATAACCAATTTGTTTCACATTCTTTCTTGGAAAAGAAAGAATCACAACAACTTCTGAAAGTGACCAGCAGTGTTTTAGCATTACATGAAAAGTAATGTCACAAATCAGAAAATGTCATTTTAACATCAGTGTGAACATACAAACAAAACATTAATGACACTAATTTTATATCATTGTAACTTTGCTTTCCATACACTTTAAGTACTTCTTCATATACCACAGCAAAAACTATAGTCTGAGAAAGTTCAAACATGATTAAAAGCAAGTGAACAGTCAGTAAAAAAATAAAATAAATAAATAAATAAATAAATACACAATTTACAAGCATATATAATATAAACAGTAGTATTCAGGTACAGAAATGTTATAATTAAGTGTAAAATAACACTGCATAGTGTTCACTGTATGAATTAAATTTAGATTAATCTTTGTTATAGCTGTTTTGTTGTTTTATTAACATTAGTGACATATTCAGCAGCACGTATTTATAGGCTGCTGTCCCTTTAAATCCGACTGCACGGATCCAGTATAATGATACACATCCGATATCTTTCTCAGCTGTATCCATTCTTTCAAAAGATAACCGGCTGCGTTTACGAAAATGATCGTCATTGCACTTAACTCTTTTTAACGTCAAGCAATTCTCTGCTATATGCATCGAACTAAAACTTTGACCTCTTGCAAAGTTTTGATTTAAGTAGCCTATTATTAAAATGATTCAGATATCGCACGCCCTTGCGATATGCATATTGCGATATTTACATTTGCGATATTTCGATATATCGTGCAGCCCTAGTATTAATGTAGAGAAATTGTGCGCAAATGTCTGCCAAGATGCAATTACTGCCAAATAAACTGCTCTCAAGAAAATAAAAGAACACTACTTGCATCCTGTTGCTTTAGTTTACTTTATCTCTATTGTACAAAAAAGCAAAGAAGTCCCAAACAAGAATACCATAATCTACATTATCTTCATAGCCTAATTCCATAGAAGTTTGTGGATTAACATTTGATTAAATAAAATTCAGTTTTTTTTAAATAAATCTGAATAATTGCAGAAAGAATCTATAGATTGAGTATCAAAATAAATGCTAGTTATTACTGAACGCAATAAAACGAATACTGAGGGACCTGAATTACTTCTAAACACAGAAAATATAATTGATCGAGCCCTAACATGCAAGATGCTTTTTTCTTTATGAATCACTGAAGTTGGTTTACAATAAAAACAAATCTATCGTATGACTTCATAGAACACTTTTAAAGTTTTGGCTGAACTACTCGTTTAAGAAGACGTTTTGTTAGATTTGTACAGAAACAAGTCACAAAACACAAAAGCTTTTCCAGATGTGCTGACACTTTTTAACTATACCTGGTCCTGCAGATCATAGTCATAGCTGTCGTGCAGAAGCAGGCTAAGAACATAACGGGTGTAGATCATTGCATCTATGCCACATTTCTCCAGCTCCTGACCCAGCCAGCTCTGCACTGGCCCTAGTGACTGCAGTGAGGACATCTCGGAGGACGACACAGGGCCTGACAAAGGGAAGGCCCGCGAGACTCTTTCAGGAGCAGGGCCGTCTGACTCTCCACTCATTGGACGCATGAGACTAGGTTGGAGCCATTCTCAAATGCAGATACATGTTCCCAGGTGGACATGAAAGTGCGAGAGGGAGTGGTATGAATGGGAGAGAGCTGATATTATAGTAGGAGAGGAAGGACTCAATCCAGCAGGACAAACACAGGAAGGTCTACATGAAGAGTCATGTAGAATCCTCTGTATATTCGTATTGCTGTAAGCAAAAGGTGGCTCTAATCTTCAGGCATGGCTTTGACCACTGGAAGCTAGCAGCTTACTGAATAGGCTACTTTCACTCATAAGGGTTCATCTTGGAGGACAGCTGGTTCCAGGCTCAACCTGAGAAGGAAAGAGAGAGAGAAACAAAACAAAAACAAAAGCACTTAGTTTCTAGGGCCCAATGAAATCAGTTTTATTTTTTCCAAATTCCATTTTTTTCTATTTTAATTTTTCTGGATTCCATTCCCCCCCCTATTTTTATTTTTCTGGACTCCATTTTAATTGTTAAAGTTTATTAATCAAAAAGCATGTCTTGAAATCATGAAACTTACAATTTAACAGCAATGTATTAAAAGTTTAACAAAAAATTACATATTTAGGGCCCTAAGAAATACATTTTATTTTACTTTTTTTTTTCTGGTAATCAAATGAAGGCATAAAACATTAAAATTTTCTTTAAAATTACTTTCATTAAAATTATTTCCATTTATCCAATGAAAATAAAACCCTTTCAATTTTTTGGGGCAAACAAAGTGCTGCACAACAGGTGTACTGTTAAAACATGGAAGAAAAATTGTGATTATTCTTTAAAAAAATAAAGCTTGAATAATAATTCTATTATTAGCAGTAGCAGTATTTAACCAGACTTTTATTTTGACAGGTTGCCGTGAAGAGTTCTGTTCGCGTGTATATGACGTAACATGTTTTCAGGTATATGATGACAGTTTTTCTAAAATGAAACGGTCAAATGCTCATGAAGTGACTCTCAGAGCAGTTCTGGAGATGTTGTTCATGTATTTATGTCCTCATTTAGCGAGAGGGCATATGATGAAAACACTGCGAGCGGCACGTGTGCTTCAGTATGAGTGGTAAACAAAACTATGTGTCTGCGCCATTCATTCACACAGAGACACTCAGAATATGCAGGATTTAGGGCTGCACGATCAATCGAATGCGATTGTCATGCGCATTTTGTTAGTAAAGCCGGTTCTATAGGCATTTCCTGGGTTTCTTCTGCGAGGCGTATTTGGAGTTTCAGCGAGAGCGCCCTCTGGCCTTTGGATGGAGATTTACTGCTGATCACAGAACCGTGCGTCACTGAAAGATACGCATGACAATCGCAGCTTCTGTCGAATTGCGATTTCGATTCCATTTCGATTTATCGTGCAGCCCTAGCAGGATTCATATTTAAAAGTCTTTTTGCAGCTTAACATTCACAGACACTAGCCCATATCATGATCTGATTTAAGTGAACTGACCTACTTTTGATTAATTCATCCAAAATTTGGCAAATTCCGTGACATTCCATGTTATATAGTAAATTACGTTTTTATGACTGGATTCCGCAATTCTGTCCGCATTTTCCGCATCGTGGAAATCATAGAGCCCCAAGTTTCACACTTATTGAATAACTGCAAAACTGTAATAAATGTCATGCTTGCATTTCTAGTGCGTGCTGGAGCTGAACATGTTGAACACCTCCACCTTACAGTGATGAAGAAAATGAGATACACTAAACAAAAAAACAATCATATCATAGTTTGCCTTATCCTGTAATTACAATTTACTTCTATAATTCTGTGACTCTGATTTTAATTGTAATTGTAATTAACACCCTGTGTTAATATTATAATCATATAATACTAATAATTAGGGCTGGGTAAAAAAAATATAGATATCTCGATATTAATCGATTCTCATTTTCACGGAACGATATCGATTCTTAAAATCCCAAGAATCGTTTAGTCTAGCCTGTTTTCAGTTAATGGACAGAACGTTGAAGGGCACTTCCCATCCAATATATCGCAATAAGCATTGTGCTTTGGTACTTTTAATATGAAACAAAGCCTCGTATTTCAAATTCTTTCCATTGTAGTGCAGTATTTAAACAATAAATGCCGTTTTGGCATTGTTTAATGTAGAGTGACAGATCGCTGTAGAGCCTCAGTTCAACAGATGTGGCAGTGCGAGGCGCATGTGAACTGATCATCTCCTCCACATTAATACCAGTTTCAGCACAAAATGAACATGAATAAACATCCGAAGGTAAGTTAAAAGAAAGAGAATAACTTTACAAACCGTATCCTGTCTCAAGTAATCGCTCAATCAGTGTTTCAGCCGCACAAAGACGTCAATATAACGTCTTGTAAACAATGTCACGTAACGTCACATTTACCTCAGAAAAACATATTTGGTGACCATAAACTCATTAGTCAGATAGAAAAGTAAACTGTAGAGAGGGGCATGGTGCTAAATATATTCACCATATAACATATTCATTATAAATTTTACTGTTTTTCAATGTTTAATTTATGTTTGAATAAATCCATCAAGTTTTGTATGACAGTCACCATTATGTTTATATTTAAAAAAAAAAAACGAATTGAAGTAGAAATATTATTATGTAATTGTAACTTTGTGTAAGTGTAATTAACAAATCAGTACATTTTAACCTTCAATGTTATAGTATTGTAGTACCAACTGATTCTCATGTACGGATGGGTATCGTTAAGGTTTTAACTGTATTACTACTCTTACCGATACTGCTTATCGATTCGGTACTTTAACG